GAGGCCGCCGGCCTGGAGCCGCTCTGGGGGCCTCTGCCCAGCCCTGCTGGGCCTGCTCGGACGGCGGCAACGTTAGAGCAGGAACGCAGTGCAGCCGAGTAGCTTTGTGCAGCAGACGCTGGACTCTCTCTCGTGGCTCTCAGTTGTCGCTTAGCGTGTTTAAAGCAGGACAGAGGCCTGGATTCGCGCGTCTGCGCAGCTTCCTTTCACCCTGCTCCTCTGTGATCCAGCAGCTCTGAGAGCGGCTGTAGAGAAGCAGTGAAGTGTGGGGATAGTCTTAAGCGGGTGGCAGCTTACCATGCTGTCCCTCTGCCAAAATACGGTGGAGGAGGTAGCTTTTGGGCTGTGAATGTGAAAAATGAGGAGCTGTAGCAAAGCAGAAGTCTGATTCCCGTCGGTGTGAGGTCTGCGAGAGCAAAACCGAGGCTTGGGTGTTTTTACAAAGGTGGGGTTAAACATAGATAAGCATGCCTCTAGGTGAGATTAGCGGTTTATTGCCGCTGAAAGGGGCAGTGTCACTTCTTCCTGCTCCGGGCTGTGCCGTCCTGCCCCTTCCCTTGCTCTTCTGGATCTTACTGGAGTTGACGCCAGAGTGCCTGGGTGGGTTTCTCTCAGCTTGGTGTCGCTGAGCTTCAGAGCCAGCGTTCAGGATGGTGGCCCCAAACTCACAGATCCGCCTTACGTGGTGCTGGTGGCTTCTGTTGTAGGTGCAGAGGGAGTTCAGTGGTTAAATGCAAGAACATTTCCTGACATGTGCGTGGTGTTGAGCACAGGGAGGGAGGGAGTTGTACTTGTTTGAACTGAAGGTGCCTCTTCGGATTTGAAACCCCACCAGAAAGTTTTCTGCTTCTTCAAGATTGTGGCCTCCCTCCTCCCAGCCCCCAGTTATCAATATTCTTGATATTGGTGTTGAAATAGTGTTTTGGCTTTTATTCTCGTAATACAAGTGGGGCAGTCATGCTTTGCTGGAAAGCTTTTTGTGATGTGTGCCAGTTTGCTTAAAACGAGACTGCACCAGCAGCAGGAGATGAGAATGCCTCCAGTATCTGCTGGAGCAAGGAGTTCTGCAGTGCGATCACATCCTGTGTTTAAAAAAACAACAACAAAAAGTAGATCTCTTTAGTTTTAGGTCTGTGCCTGATAACTTCGTCTGGTGTCTGCCTCTACTTGTCAGATAAAAAAGCATATATAATCATTGCTCATTTGCCTCCTCCATAGCAAAATCCGAGTGATTTTTATAGACCTGTCTTGCAGGATAAATTTTAAAGACGTCTATTCATGTGACACTGAACTGATACTTTTCTAGAGCTATCCCCAGTGACTTCAGAAATTTTCTTTATGAGTTATAAAAGACGGTTGCAAACTGTGATGTTATGTGTATAGTTAGCATTGTTTTCATCAAGTGTGCTGCTGTGCATTTATAGACACTTCATTTAAACTGTCACTTTATGGCAGAGTTGTTAGGCAGCACAAGATCCTTCCCTAGCCCTTTGCAATCAGTTGTACTTTGTAAAGTCCCTGAATAATTTATATTGTTAGTGAATTGTCTCCTTAGTTTTCGCACCCTTTTTCAGGTGTGGTGCAGGGGTGGGGAAGCTGTACTGTGAAGTGGCTAGGGGGGGGGGGGCTGTAGGATTCTGTTTTAGGACTTAATTTTCCTTTTTTAAAAAAACATGTTTATCAGTCATCTGGAAGGAAATGTAAGCTAATGGATGGGGAGCTAGAGAAGATGCAACAACTGAGAGAATGATAAATAATGAAGAGGACAGGTCCTTGGTACAGAGTGGCCTTGATTGCTTAGCTGGAGGGCTGTGTTTTGCAAGCAATATTCATTTCACTGAAGCAAGATGTAAAGCCTTGCGTCTAAAAAATAAAAAATAAAAATTGCACTGATGGAGAATTCCTGTTGGGGAATTTAGCTTTGAAAAATATGAATGTACTGTGGATTTTATTCTTATTTTGAATGTTGTGTGCGTTTCGGATCCTGCCCTCGCTCTTTTTCCTCCACCCCTATCCCAAGGAGAGGTATGGAGCAGCTTTCGTTCAAGGGGAGACGAAGTAGGTTAGGACTCTTAATCTGGAAAAGATGACTGAGGAGGATATGAGAGAGGTATATAAATCATTAATAGTCTGCAGACAGAGATTAATCATTCACCTCCTTTCCCTTATCTAAGCATTAGGAGGTATCGGATAATGCTGGTACTTGGTGGGCTCAGGATGAACAAGGAGGTGGTTCTCCACATCTGGTTAAGCTCTGAGGATTCCTGCCATTGTGAGGGCTGAAAGCTTAGGGGGTTCGAGAGCTGGCCATACAGTGCCATGGAGGAAAAAAGTCCATTTAGTAGGTACTGAAACTGTGTCGGGTTTGGGAAGTCTGTGAGCAGCAAATGGTTAGAAGCTGGGAGGAAAGCAGGGCAGTGTTCCTGTCTGTTTTCTCATACTTTTCTCCAGGGACCTGTTGTTGGCTGCTGTTGGAAATGATATTGTGCTCGGTGGAGGTTTGGTCTGGCCCAGTCTAGCTGTTGCTGTTTTATCCTGAAATTCTTGATATAGTTGTCAGACCCATGCATCAAGAAGAACATTGATAAACTGGAAAAGGTATATAGAAGGTTTTTTCAATTGGCCACGTCGCACTGCAGTGCGGGACTCAGTATTGGGTCTATTCAATGCAACGGAAAGTGCTCCTATCTTGATTTTTTCTTAAGGTAGATGCATACAAATGATAGAAAACTGAAAACAACGAACTCCTCAGCCTGCTAGCGAAGGTGTGGCACTATTCAGTGGATAGGAGTTGAAGCCAGACAAATTCAAACTAGAAATAAGATCTACGTGTTAGTGCAGAGACCTGGGAATTGGGGTGGATTCTGTATTGCTGAAATTTCATATATCGAGATTGAATGCCTTTCTAAAGGTCTGCTGTGTTTCAAATCCACCTTTGAACATGAGGGAGAATTTTAAAAGGAAACATCCTATAGATCATTTGTACAGGAAGTCAGAGTGGATAATAATAACGACTTTTGTTACGCGCTCACACCTGCTGAAGCTCTGACCTCCAGATGTTTTTCCTACCATGTCCTCTAGACTGGCTACGGAACAATTTAAGAGCGCTAGCGCTTCTTTTATATACTGCTGTTAAAGAAACAGTGGGAGATGCTGGTACAGATGCTTGTGTGTTTGAGAAGATTAATTAGTGTTTGTCATCGTGCTGCAGATGAATGTGCCAAACATTATTACACACTTCGTTCTCATCGTGTCATCAGGAAATGCCGCGCTGTCTTTTATGCTTTGTCCTTGACAGGAGCGTTCGCGAGCGGGTGCTGTAGATTCCAGCCCACATCTGCAAACTCTTGAGCTGTAGCTGGACTGGGGGCCTGTTTCTCTACCGCAGTTACTGGAGAAATGCCCTTGAATGTCAAAGTCACAATTACTACAATTGGTCTGTAGAGAATAGCTCCTACTCCTTTGGACACCATAAAATCCCTTTTTACCTCCTGCCCGAAGTGTTGGTGTGACTGAAATGCTGTGTGCACTGGGCTGTGACAGTGACCTGTCATTTCTGTAATGCTTAGAGCTTAACAAACGGTGGTGATGAAGCAGTGTAATGAAAACAAGTGTTTAGAGGAAAGAGAGGGGGTTGATATCTGTATTTTAGGCGCTTGGAGGGCTGTAGCCGCCACCAGCCGTTTTCATGGCGCTTGACAGATGCACCTTTCTGGGGATACATACCACTCGCCCTAGTAATCGCTTTAGCGAGAGTGAAAAATGGACTACCTCAGTGTAGCTGTGAGCTTAGAGTGCTGTTTATGTCGGTCTTATAAACAAGGTATTACAGCTGAGTAGACTAATTATAGGGTATTGTAAAGAATGAACCCCTAGGCAGAGTCTGGAGACTGCAGTTAAGAGCCAGGCTGAGTATTACAGCTGGAAGATTTGTTTAAGAACGGCCCAGATCCTCTCATGTTAGGACTGATTTTTAAGACGTGTACCACTGAGATGGTGAATCCCGTGCACTGACCGCGTATTGCTTGCATTTTCAGGCATTTATTTGGCACTCACAAAGCTTTTCTATTTTCTCTTGCAGATGTGTTGGACAGCGATGCCTGTTGGCTCGGCTTGGCCCCAGCCTTTCTGCACGACAGTGAGTCTGAGGTTTTATTGAGAGTAACGGGATTAAGTTCTTTCCCTGCAGGATCCCGTCTAAAGCTTTGGCGCATGTGTGCGCTCTATCCGCTTAGTAATTCTGATCAATCAGTGCCATGTGGTGGCTGGGTACTTACAACGTCATGCCATCACAAGTGTATGGCCTGTTTACTGATGGGCAAGTGCTGCCTCATAGGTTTGGGGCTATGTATGGAGATGAAGGAAATGCCTGGCTGGGTGCTGAGAGTGGGCCTGAACCTCTTGCTGAGGAGGCAGTCCTGCTACCCCTCAGGGTCGCTTTGTGTGACAAGTGCACGGTGCCTTTGCACCTGATGAGAGCGAGGATCAGCAGAAGCCCCCTTGTTCCTGTGCTTCGTGCTGCCAGGCTTAGAGAGAAATAGTTATTTTCTGCTAAATTGGGCTGTAAGTGTAATTGCTATGTAATCTCAGGAACATTAAATTACAAGCTCTTTATTTGGTACAGTGTGCAATTACCGTGGCAGTAAAGAGCAGGTTGCATGTTATCAGTATTATATAATATGTTATCTGATATCCTATACTCTGATTGGGGCGGCAGGGGGGTGGTTTTGCTCTGGTGGCTGAATGGATTTCAGTACATAACAGAGCTTAACACAACAGCGGCTTCCCATCCTGAGTATTGTTATAAACTCTGGAGAGCTGGCAGCGATCCTCTCTTTACCCATGTTTGCACACAGCTGGAACTGTTCTTTTTATTGCTGTAGTCAAGGTCAGTTGGGAACTTGCATGCTGTGAGGGTAGAGAGCCACTGCGGCATTGGCCGGCGGAGCAGGGAAGGGTAAATCGCTGCCTGTCTCTCTGCGCATCCTGTCTCTTCTCTTTTACAGTGTTGTCCCCATGGGAACAACAGCGAAGGAGGAGATGGCCCGCTTTTGGGATAAGAACACCAAGTCCAATCGCCCCTTGTCCCCTCACATCACAATTTACAAGTAAGAGACTTGTCAGCCTCCTCGGCTTCGCGCAGTGGCACTTCTGGGCTTTGATGCGTAGCTTGGGGCCAAACCCTTTCTCACTGTCACCCTTGGCTGGGAGGGCTGTGCACTTTTCTACGGTCAGTTCTGGCAGGTGGGCTGGCCCCGCGGCAGAGGTGCGGGATGGGGAGATGGTCTGTGTTACGCTATGAACAGCCTCAGCTTTGAGAGGTTGGAATATGGCGGAGGGGAATCACAGCCCCAATTATGTTATGGGGTTGATGAAACTCACTTTTTTCATACGGAGTTGTGAGAGCAGGTAAAATTCCCCAAAGGCAGGCAGTGTTTTCAAATGTGCTATTGAAAGGCAGCAGCCTCCGCGGAGGGTGGTTGTGCAGAACAACGTGTCCCACTCTGGAATTGGCACAAGTCTGGGGTGGAGGCAGGAGGCCAACTTTGGGCTGTCAGGTTCCCTTTGCAGGGAGACAACAGTTTCTTTTGGGCTGCTTCTGTCACTTTTTCAAGGTTCTGTCATTTATCCGTATGTCTGGATGCCTGAACCCTATTCCCTTTGTTCCTGAATTGCAGGATCCCTGCAGTTTTCTCCTTTCTCGGCAGACACAGACCTTCCCCTTCCCAAACCCGTGCCAGTGGCATTTGTCATTCCCAAGCTGCCTCTGCACATTCCCTCATCTTTCCCCTTTTGCTCTGGCTGGATTCCTTGAATAATTCTGAGTGCAGAAATACTCACCCAGCAGCACAGAGCTGTCTAGGAATAGATGGGCTGTGCTTTGTGTCTCTGCCTTGGAAGCATCTCTAATATTATGTTTTCTGCCTTTGTGCCCTGTCTGTTTTGCTGATGAGGTTGGTTGTTTTGCAGGTGGTCTCTGCCCATGGCGATGTCCATCACGCATCGGGGCACCGGTGTTGCGCTGAGTGTAGGTGCGTGAATCTCTGAGCTCTTCTTGGCGGTCGGTGCGCTGGGGGCTGCAGGAGTGAAGACCTCTCAATCGTGCTCACTGATTTGCAGATGTGGTTCCGGTTCGCTGTTTTCCCCCCTTTATCCCAAGTTGTGATGTTGGCTTCGGCAACAGGGTTTCTCGTCTCCTCCATCTTTCTCTGCCCCCTGAATATCTATCCATCCCCTGGGTATCTGTGCCTGAGTCTCCTTGTGCCATGATTTGCTTTGGTCCCACAAAGGAAGCGATGCTCTCCCAGAAGTAAAATCCTTAAAAGCCTTTGTAGGACTGTGGCCTTTCCTCCTCCACGACTCTCAGTATCTCAGACTCTCCACCACACTGTTTCCTCCTGGGCCTCCCCAAGCTGGAAAAAAGTTGACCAGCTGCTCCAGTGCTCAGACCTTCTCTTTTGTGACTCTCTTTTCCTGGTTTATCCTAACAAGAGGCTCTGTTTGAGGAAAGGACTGGCAGACAGGCAGAGTTTCCTGATGATTTTTGTTATGCACAGGTGGAGTTTTTCAGCTTCCTGTAAGTGGCTGCTGCCTTCCCAGAGACGCTGGTGCAGCATCGAAACTGATAAACCCCCACCAGCAATTTGACTCGCATAGTTTGACTCAGCGATCCAATGTCTAACTGTGAAAGGCTGTTTTATTTCCATTAATGCCCTCTCATGGCGGCGGAAAGGTGCTTGTCTGATAGCTCAGAGTCTCCTGTTGAGCTGGAGGAGCTGGGTTGATGTTTGTAGAAGGGAGCTGGAGGAGGGGGCTCAAAAAGGATATGTGACAAACTGAGGACTTGTCTGTCCTGAATGTGCAGCTGGGTAGATTGGGAGGAAACGGTGAGGGCCGCTGCCTGCCCTTTCCAACCTGGCCTCCCACGAGGCACAGTTTCCAACCTCGAGGCTCTGACTTCTGAGCAGCTCTGAGGGTGATGCCGGTGGGATGCCGGTGTGTCTTTAGCAGAAGTTAACTTTAGTGGAAGCTGAGGTCTCAGGAAAGGGCACCTGAGGAGCCCTTCTCCACCTGCATCCACACAGCAGAGCTCCGGTGAGAATTTGGCTCTTCCCCAAGGGTGTGCTCTGTCTGCCGGCCAGTTTAGGCCCGGTTCTGCCTCGCTGAAGAGCCTGGGCATCCTCTGTGGGAGAGCAGCAAATGGCTGCATGCTTGGTTACCGCTCCAAGCGGCAGCAAGGTGACTTTAGCAGTTGTCTTTGCCCCCTGTGAGCCCATCTGGCCCCTCTGAGGTGGGCTGCGTGCCCTGCTCCATGCATGAATCCAGGGCGTTACATGGCAGTGATGCTGGCCAGAAAGGCTGTGTGCTGGCACCACCCAGCTTTGGGATTGTATCTGCTGCTCTCTCAGCCCAGAGCTGTGAGTGGTGAAGGCACAGTATCTCCAGTTGGCTCTGTGGGCTGCTCTCTGCCAACGGTCCAAGCTGTCCAGCTTGCTGTCAGATGGGCCAAGCTGGCAGATTCACCATTGCCCTTTCTGCTTCCTTATAAAGGAACCACCTATCAAACTCCAGTATTGGAATGAAAAACGGCCACTTCCCGGGCTGTTAGAGTACGAGGGAGACTCCATTCTGCCGACCACAGCTCAACAGCCCTGATGCTAGAAGGCAGAGCGGAAGCGTTAATCTCCTCTCTAGCAAGGCCTATAATTACAGGAGCCTCTAACTTCCTGCACTTTCTTCAGGGCGAACACAAAGGCCATTGAAGAGACAAGTGGCTGAGCAGGGAAGCAGCTGGTTGACTCTCTCTGCCAGTGCCGGCCTCAGCTGGGGCGCTCAAGCTAGCACGCTGCAGTGTAATCAGGCGCTATTGAACGGAGGGTGAATCGCGACTTGGCTGACTCTGCTCACTTTGATCGTTCCTATTCTTTTGGCAGCACCATCTGGAGAAGCCCTCTTGGCCTAGAAATGACAGGGAGAAGCTGCCGTGGCTCCTGCAGCTAGTGCAGCCACTTATGTCAAACTGTCTTTGTTTCCTGGTTTCTTTGCTGATGTTAGCTCGGGCGGTGCGCAGCACTCCCCTGCTGAGGCTGTCTCGCTAAATTGGCACGTTTGTCAGTGGCTGGCAATGGAGCGATTTTTGTCCTGAAATGTGGGTCTGAGGACTTCACTGAAGAGCTGCCATCTTATGTTTTCAGCCTTGATTGTCCCTTTAACCTGGAGTTTGGGCTGGTTTGGCTGCAAATGTCTGAGCTCATGCCAGTTTACTCTCAGGGTATTGTATGAGTAATGCAGCTCCTGGTGCAGGACCCAGATTCAGTGTGTTGCTGCCCCAGTTTGTATCCTCTCACCACCCTAGGGTACATTGTCACAGTGCAGCTAACACTGCCGCTAAGTAGGGAGAGCCCTTCTCTCTCCTCCTCCTTTTAGCCATGATGAGCTGTTAGTTTGGTTACGGCTGTGTCACAAAACCAGAAACATAGAGGTGGTCTCACTAGTGGAACTAGAAAAATTATCCCTGCTACCTTCTCTGCAGTTGTGGGGTACATGGCTGAGCTGACGGATTGGTCTGTTGGATTTATCCGGATTGCTCTTTAGCGTAGGTGTAGCTCCTCAAGGGAAAAAGTGGGCACAAATTTGCTCCCAGGCAAAACTTGTGAGCTCTATTGCTTCCGGGCCCGGGACGATGCAAGCACTATGGTGAGACTCAGAGTTGGTGTCCTCTTTTGGGGCCCCAGACTTTCAGCTGCAGGGTGCTCCTGCCAGCCTGGGTCTCTTTGCTGGCAGCGAGGTGCTGGTAACGCTTCTGCTGGCTTTGTCTTTCTCAGGAGTCTCCCTCTTCGGTCTGGCTGCCCTGGTTCTCCCAGAGCAGTTTCCCCACTACCTGGCAATGGTGAAGTCGCTCAGCCTGGGGCCTGCTCTCATCTACTCTGCTAAGTTTGCTCTGGCTTTCCCCCTCTCCTACCACACCTGGAATGGAATCCGACACCTTGTGAGTAGCCTTTGCGAGGGAGCTCTGTGTGTGTGTGTGTGTGTGTGTGTGTGTGTGCGCGCGCGCGCCTGAAGTGGGGCAAGAGAAGGAAAATGTCTGCTGGCGGAGGGAATGACGTGTGCAGTATTTGGGAAGGTGCCCTTGGAAATGGGAATTAGTCACCTAAAGTGCTTCAGAAACAAGGTGCTATTTTTGGGTACATCTAAGTTGCCAAAAGCATCGCTACGCTGATGCTTCTCCTAGCGGCAAGGATAGTTGAAGCATCTCCCCCTGCCCCATGTTACCTCCTCAGCTGCCTGCAGGGCCAAACGGGGAATAGATCTAGGATAACAGAGGGGTGGCAGGGAGCAGATGTTACAGCTGAGGGGAAGTGTCTGCAGAACCACGGACTCAGGTGCTGTGGAAGTGACACCCTTTGCTCATTATCTCATGCTCGTAATGCAGCTGTTGTGTTGTGGTCTTCAAAGTGCTTCATGCTGTTTACTGAGCCCAGAAAACATGTAACAGTGGCTTGGAGACAAGCGTGTTCTGCTTAAAAGTAACCTGTGATGTTTGCCCTGGGCTGAAGTTTGGAACAATCAGCTCAGTTCAGCCAAACTTCCTGTGTTTAACAAAGGAGGGTGAGCTGGAGAGCAGAGCTTTTCAACTGGCAACAGTACAAGACGTGCTGCTTTTGTAGTTGATTTTGTGTTTTTGTAGCTCCAGATAGGTTTGGTCTTACAGGAGCAAATTGCAAAGGCAGCTGGCCTGGAGTGTGACATGATCCTTCTGCTCCAGGGAGGGAGCACCACGTGGAGAGCAGGGCTTTAGACACGGGCTTGCTCTGCGCGTGCTGACAGGTTCCCTTGCTTCCAGCATGGAAACACGCGACCCGTGCACTCAAACTGTTGGATGTTATATTTGCATCCTACACCTGAGAGCAACTGTTAAAAGATGCTCATGTCAGTGTGCTGGGAGGCGCCTGGTCAAGCCGTTCTGGGTGAATGACAGCCACATGCTGTGCGAGAGGAGCCCACTCTGCGGGTCCTTGGGGTGGATGGTGTCCGACTGCAGTGCTGCAAGCACTCATTATACTGCTCTTCAAGCACTCCACATCAGATGAGGCCTCTGCGCGTGGGACCTGCAGCAGGCTGAGCCCTGCTCGCTCATGGAGATGCCGTTAGGCAAATGGAGCAGTCATAACCGGCTGCTTGTTCAGAGCATCGTGAGTTGAATGCATGCTGAAGTCTGTGACTGCACATATGCATTAGGATGCCATTTAAATTGTCTTCCGATGCCCAAGAACGTAACCAGCAGCACTGGACCCTGGCTGAGCTTGGCAGCACGGCCCATCAGATGACAGCAAGGGAGCGGGTTCTGTTTCATGGTTCTGCCCCAAGTACTTCTCTTCTCTGAGCTCCCAGTGGTTTGCTGGCAGGCTGGGACAAGGTGTGCGCTCCACAGGGCTGTGCTGAGCAACCCAGCTTTTACTTGCACTTGACCAAAGTTAGATAAGAGATTCAAAATCCATCTAACACCTGGAAACTGAGGGACTCCCAGCTCTGGGTTGTCATTTCAGCATCCTCCCTTGCAATCTGGGCTCAGCCTGGCTCTTTGCAGCTTGCACTGTACCCCAGAGGTTTATGTGGATTTGCTGGGGACTACCTGCTCACTCTGCCTTTAGAGATGTTACTGGGGCCTTGGATCTGTGGCTTGTGCGAGGGTTTCACAACCTATTTCTGTCAGCAGGAGTGAAGCAAGCAAAGAGCAGCTGCTGCTCTCAAAGCGAACCTGGCGCTCTGCGACTGTTGTGGATTCAGCTTTACTGATAGATGAGGGGGGGACTGGTGGGGGATAACTTCTTCCTCTGGCAGGGTGCACGCATGCCTACGTCCAAGGAGACCCCTACAGTGATGGGACACTTGTAGCCTTCCCCCTGGTTCATACGCAGTGCTTTGGGGTGGTCTTGCTAGAATTTTTCAAAAAAGCTGCCTTTTTACCTGCTTTGGCGTATCCCCCATCAAGGCCTATCCTAGTCCCGTTGAGTTAACCCTGCCTACTCCCTGCAGTGGATCCCTGGCTCTGGAGGTCTATTCTATCTGGGAATTGTCTCAGTTCCTGAATGGGAAATCCTAACTGCTGTGTCTCTTCTCTCCTGGTAGGCGTGGGACCTGGGGAAGGGGTTCAAGATCTCCGAAGTCAACCAGTCCGGCGTGCTGGTCCTTGTCCTGACCCTGCTCTCCTCTGCTGGCCTTGCGGCAATGTGAAGGCATCTCCCGGTTGATGGCCTCCCTTTTCTGGAAGATCTGGTCTGTCTGTCCTGGCTTTCCTCAGGATGTGGAGAGTGAGGCAGGAGGGCAGACTCCTGAATAACTATAAATCTTAGGGGAAGGTGGCACTTCCCCTCCTTGCAAATTTTGTGGATGATCAGAGTTGCTTATCGTTAGCCTGGACGACGTGCTTTGCCCAGCTAGCCCAGGACTGCCTTTTTGATAGTGGGGGGACAGGCCAGGATGTCTCCTCAAGTACCAAATACCTGAATAGCCACAGAGAGCTGGGCACAAGTTAACAGCTGATTTCCAGCACATTCAAGCACTTGCAGAAAACTGCCTAACTCAGTACTCTTTTTCAGACAAACCCCGATGCATTTTTTTTTTCTCCCTGCTCTATCCCAAAGCTTGAGACAATGCTGATTCTGTGTCCCCTCAGGTCCGAGTGGGCTCAGGGAAGGAGATGCCAGTGCTGCTGGTAGTGTGTGTGTAGGCCTGGTGCAAGACAACCATCTCCATTGAGGCACCCTGTTCTAGGGGAGGGAGAGCAGATGGAGCTGCCAACGCCAGCGCCCGTGAGGGGAATGGGTAATTGGTGCCATCCAGGGTGTTAACACCAGCCGTGCAACCCTGGGCTTTCCAAGGCTGGCAGCAGCGAGCAGGGGCGGGCTGGGCAGTTGTGCTCAGCCCTGGAGATGTTCAGTCCTGACTCCTTGTCACTGAAAAGGTGATGATTCAGCAAACTTAGGGGCTCTCGAGCCCCTGCCAGTGAAAACATCCTGTTTTCCCCTGTATTCTCCTGCCTCTGAAATGACTGGGAGTGATGTGGTTTTCCTGTTGTGCATTGTCACCAGCTCTCATGTCAGTGCTTCTTTGTAACTCGTCCACCATTGCAATAAAGCAGCCTTGATCTTTTGCACATGCTAGCCATTGGGTTACTGTTTTGGTTTTCTTTGGCACAATATTGACTAAGGAGAAATCGGATGAGAAAGGAGGCTTTGCTTTGAGATTAAGGGAATCGCAACTTCCCGGAGAAGCTGAGTGATGGAAAAACAAAGTCTTTGCTGTGTTTTCTTATAGAGACAGGTATAATGCCTTACCTTTGGAGTTTGTGGGTGTGGGGTTGATCTGGCTGTGAAATACTGCCAACCCAGCAGGGAGGAATTTCCTTTGAGACCGTGCTTACTTGCACTGGTACAAATGGCTGTGCGAGGTCCAGGACAAGAGCTTCTAGCTCAAATTTGCCCATTTTTCATGTCCACCAGCAGCTCAGCTCCGCAAAGAGGATGCGCCTCATCAGGAGCTCTGTCCCATTTTTATGCCCCAGCAAGGGTCTTGGCTCTCTGCTTTAGGAAGGATCCTCGGCAGCCAGCAAAATGACAGCTTCATCGGGAACATCTGCTTTCATCATCCAGCTTTTGATGGAGACCTCAAGTGGCAGGAGGGAAGCTATTCTGATAAACGCTTTCCAAGATCAGTTGCACCAGACGGGATTGTTTTCACCCGACTGCTTTTACTTCTGCCACTAATCTAAGCCCCTTTCCCTCCCACTTGTTCAATTCTCTTGCCTGCCTAGTGGCCCTAACAAATCTGCCACTTCTTTAATTAGCAGAAGGCACCCTAGCCCTGAGGGGACGCGAAGCCTTAGAGATGAGATATCATGAAGGAAGAAAAACTGTCTGCTGTCATCATGTTACAAAGAGAAAACTTACTGCCAAATCACTTTCAGTATAGCTTTAAGCCCCAGCGGGAGAGATCTCCTGAGTGAAAACTAATGTATTTTAGCTTTAAACCAATTACTTCCTGCAGTTGCTGAAATGGCTTTTATTTGGAACCCTCTTCTGATTGCTAATGAGTTAATCTGTGATGCATGCCAGCTGCTAACGAAGTTGGACTTTGCTGCATCTCTTGTGTGTTCACAGACTATTTCATTTCTGCAAACAGTCCCAGCCTGGGCAACCCAGGCTTCTTGCGTAAAGGGGGATGGAAGTGCTGCCTCGGAGCTCTTGGAGCTGCCCCTTAACCGGAGGAGAACCAGCTCCTACCAGTTTCTTAGTGATGAAAACAAAGTCAAACTGGCTCTGTCCCTCCCACCTCCTGTAAGAGGCTGGTTAATTGTGGAATAACTAACCAGCCAACAACTGGATTTCTGCTGCTCAGCGTGATGAGAGGCCAGATGAAGTATGGATAGCTCCATGCGTAGGGGCTGGTCTCACCTTTCTACCATTAGACAGTATTAGATGAGCTGCGCTACAGCCCGGTGAGGACACACAAAGGGAAGCCAAGGCTGCCCCAGATCCGACACCAAAGCACCGTGCAGGCACGTGCAGCCCTGACGCTGCCAAAGGGCCTGAGCTTGGGCCAGGGCACTGGTCGTTAGCTACCAAAACCAAATGACTGTTTTGTTTTTTTTTTTTTCCACTTTTATTTTTCCAGTTGCCATGAAAACACAAATGCTGACTACACAGTGCTGTCTGCCTTGCTTGGGCTTCTTTGAACCTGCTCTCCTTCTTCACTGCTAGGGCTTGGGCACAGGCTTAGGTGGAAAAGCAGTTTCTGGTTGTGAGCGCGTTCCCAGGCGCTGAGAAGCCGGCATGTCCTGTGGCTCTGCTCGCCTCACCCAGCCGGAGCCTCTTACTTGCAAGCAAGAGGAAGGGGGGATGGTTTGTGCTAGATGCAGGGCGCAGCAGGGGAGGGGAAGTGCCTGCAGCCAGGGGGAGGGAGTGAGGCGAGCAAGAAGGGCTCAAAATCGCGTAAGAGATGTTTGCCCTTGTCTCGTGCTTGGGCCCGACTGGGGCGTTTGCCCCGCTCTCTCTTCAGAGCATGGCAGGCACCTTGTCCACCCATCCTGCTCTGGGGACACACTCTTCTCTCTCTTGGCTGTCCCCTTCCGTGTCCTGGAGGCACAGCTAGCCTTGGAGGCAGAGTGGCCGGGCACCAGTGCCTCAGGGGAGGTGCTTCCTCGGGGACTGGCCTCTGCTGATGCACGACAAGGCGAAACCACGAGGCTTGGTGAACTACCCGCCTTGGGTTTGGCCTCAATGGAGCCAGACCAGCTCGGAGCGGAGACCTCCACTGAGGTGGGCTGCTGAGGGCTAGCCTCCCTCGAAGTACAGAGGAGCGAAGCTGGGATTTTGGGTGAGATGGCATCCCTGAGTCTAAGATCTGTGAAGCCGGGCTGGCGGGAGAGCGGGACCTCAGCTGGGCTGTCTACCCTGTGCTTGGCCTGCTTGGAGTGAGGCTGGCATGAAGCTGGGATCTCCGGTGATACATCTTCTCTCAGCCGGACATCCAGGTGGCCAAGCTTGCGAGAGAGTGGCACCCCGACCATGGCATCCACTTCATGGCCACACTTCTCCTCCACTGCCATTTTGGGAGAGAGCTGGGGATTCTGGATGCCCTTGCTAGATGTCCGACTGGCTTTTCCGGAAGGCTCCCTGGTGTCTTGCGTGTCTGACCAAGGCTCTTGGGGCTGTGCGAGGGAGACACGCAATAGGCTCATGTTGCAAAGATGGGGATGTGGGGTAGCGAGAGAAGCGGGAGGTGAACGGGAGGACTGGCTGGCTGGCAACGCTATGGCAGGAGGGGTTTGGACTCACCCAAGGAGGCCTACTACCGCAGGCGGGGTTTGCTGCAGGGTTGGGCTCCTTGCTAGGCTCGCCAGGAGCATGGGGAGGACTGAATCCTCGGCAGACTGGCAGGGCTCGGTCTGCCTGAGGCTGCCAAGGAATGAAGAAACGCTGCTGAGCTCCCCTAGGGGGAAGGTTGAATTGAAGAGGGGTGCTGGGGGGGCTCTGAGGAACACCTCCACATCAGGGCGGTTCCTATTCTAGGATGATTTTCTCCAGGAGGAGAGCAGCGGCTTGTGAGCTCCTCCTGCTGGCACAATGGCAGCTGTGGTGGCCCAAGCACCCTACTGCCAGTAGCAGGGGGACAACCCCAAATTAAGGGTGAGGCAGAGAGACCCCCCCCCCGGCCCGCCAGGAGACAGAAGAGAGGGTGGCCCAGGCACCGAGCGCAAGTGCCGCAACACTGAGCGCACCAGATCTGGTCTAATAGCGAGTGCAAATTGGGGATGTGGGAGGAGTGAGTCTGTCTAAAACATCCTGTGGGAGGAGGAGAGGGAAACAGCACAGGGAGAAGCAACCTTCCACGTGCATTCAACCAGTACATCTATGCTGCCTTCTCCCCTCTCCCTCCCTTCCTTGGCCTGATGCAGACCTGCATATTAAGAAGAAGGACACGGGATTATAGAAAATCCTCCTGAAATCTGCTCATGGGCCTTTCCCATCTCTAGAAATCCTTTCCTAGTGTTCACCTACTTCTACAGTGCAGGGACCGCATCGCAGCATCACAGTTCAGTTATTTGCACCGGCTCATGGAAGCTGGACCCGGAGATGGCCCCCCTCCCCCCCTCCCCCGTCCGTGAGGCCAAGCCAAAGCTCGGCAAGGAGAGGTGATGTTCCACGCTCCTTGGATCCCTCGGAAAGCAGCACCTACCTTGCCAGTGATCTCTGGTCGGAGGCCGTTGCAGGCGCTGGTCAGGGTGGTGGACTTGTGGATCCAGTCAGTGAGCTGTGCCGCTGCGGCAGCCGAACGGGAGGTCAGATTCAGCCTGGCTGGGGGAATTTTCAAGGGCATGTCCCAGGTTCCCAAAAAGGTGCCCCAGGGGGAAGCCTGAAAGGAAAAGGGGGAGCAGAGCAGGGCTACAGCCCTCTTTCAGAAAGCAACTGCCCCACTCAGCCAATGTTTTGCTGCTTCACCCAGGAGAGCCTGGCTCCAGAGCCCTTCTGAGCTGGGTGCCTCCAGCTTGCCACCTTCTGCAGCGCCACGGGTGCCACGTGGGGTGCAGGTCCTGCAGCGGGCAGGACACACTCACCCCAACACTAACCTTCGAACGGGGCACAGAGGGGAGCAGATGTCCTCGGTCATCAGCGATGATCTGCGTGTAGCCGTCCCGTGGCAAGGGGCGCTGAGGGGAAGCAAGGGGGCAGCAGCGACAGTGGGCCAGGCTGGGGGCCGAGGGGCCGTGCTGAACCCAGGGGACATGGAAGGGGGACCAGGCTGGGGTCTGAGGGGCCGGTCTGAGCCCTGGGGGTGC